CCCTGCCAACAACAATCTCAACTTCTCACGTAAAATTTGAAAAATGCATGGCAATAGAGACAAGTAAAAAATAGACCAGTGCGCCCACTTGCAATCGCTATGTTCCGAATTCATCTAGAAGAAAGGCATTTTACCTGGTTTCAATATTACTTACTTACTTACACCTGTTACTCCGAATGGAGCATAGGGCGCAGACCAGCATTCTCCAACCCACTCTGTCCTCCGCCTTCTTTTCTAGTTCCATCCGATTCTTGTTCATTTTTCTCATGTCTATTTCCATTTCTCGGCGTAGTGTGTTCTTTGGTCTTCCTCTTTTCCTTTGGCCTTCAGGATTCCATGTGAGGGCTAGTCTTGTGACGCAGTTGGGTGCTTTCTTCAATGTGTGTCCTATCCACTTCCAGCGCTTCTTCCTGATTTCTTCCTCCGCTGTGATCTGGTTTGTTCTCTCCCATAGTAGGTTGTTGCTAATAGTGTCCGGCCAACGGATCTGAAGTATTTTGTGTAGACAACTGTTAATAAACACCTGTATCTTTTGGATGATGGCTTTCGTAATTCTCCAGGTTTCCGCCCCATACTTTATCCAATAATTCAAGTCACTACTAGACCAATTATACTTGACTTAAGTATTTTCAAATGTCATGGTTGGTGGATCATTTCGTTCAAGATAAAGGTTCTATATGATTAAGTGAACAAAATAAAGCATCCAAAATTCTATAAATACGCTCAACGTGTAACTTTACTAATTACATGTAACACATGCCGTCTTTGAACAAGTCCAGTGTAGTGTAGTTGTAGGAGTTTAATCATTAAAAAGAATGTAGTGTACCTCAATTCATGGACGTAGTACCTCAATATAAATGACTCTATTATTCTTCGTTCACCGCATATCACACATTGTATTTACGCAATTCCAGCAATTGATTTTAGAAATAACTGACATGAAATTTCTGGATTCACAATATCTCTTTGTTGAACGTAGACAAATATATTGACACTAGGTAGTGTGACCAGAAAAGAGCGTCCAACAAAAATCCCTACAGTATATTCATCGGACTAACATTGTTTCTTTTATAAATTAGTTGCATTCATCATTTTCCTTCATGACCAATATTGTTAGATGGAATAATTGTCTTCAATAGTGCCATGCTGAAGGTTCATCATGAGGGTAAAAAGACACAAAAATTATACAATATCAACTCGCCCAAAGCATCAGTACGCAGTTGTCTATAGGGTTTTATAATCTACGGCTTGAACAACGACGCAAGATGTCCAGCAGCAGCCAAGGTCATGAAACTTTATGATCAGTGAAAAGAGTGTTTTACTACATAGAAAAACGTCTTAGCATTAGATACTACGAATTTCTAATAAACCCAAAGTTCCATACATTTGGATAACGGCTTCCTTGGCCACCTTTGGTAATGCTGTGCTAAATGAATTGTGTCGCCATGGTGATGTCAGCGGAATCATGCTGATCTCTGCTTCTGTTTGAACTTAAATGTCCGAAGCAGAAATATTATCCCCTATATGCAGGGAACGGCTTGTTAGTTGTCCAGAAACATTTGCCGTCGTTGCTGTTTGGTTGGTTCATTTCCTTGGTTCCCAATGTTTTTGCAGATGCATTTGTACGATCTTGCGAATTGCCGTGCCGTAGTTCCGTAATGCTCGCAGCATGGTCAGATCTCCGGGGATGGTATAGGTGATTTAGAATACTGCCTCGAAAATGGATTTTTCTGAAACACTATATAGTTCATCTAACGTGTACTGTAGATATAGTTGCTTGTAGTACCGCGAGCTTTTTAGTCATATTAAATAACTGCTGTTGAAATGCCATCATGTCATTGTTACGCGCTCTCTCAGTAGCTCGTACTGGATTTATACTGTGTACTCTGGGTTGACTTCTATCATCTGATTTGTCATATCTGCCAGATCCTCCAGAGTAATTAGTTCTCCTGACGCACGAAGGATGTCTCGCGTTATGGAGAGAACATTATAGCCACGTTTGTTTAAATAAACCTTCATCTAATTTATATGAGCCAATTGATTGCTTCATCACATGGTGTTAATGGACGTTTGTAGTCTTCTATTAGTCAGAAGCTGATTTATATTGGATGACTGCTACTTTGTGTTCACCATGAGGGTCCTGTTCCGGAACCTAATAGGTTATGTCCCCGAATTCTGTAGCGATTTTAGCCGGAAGTGCACCTACTACGCGCACATAGTTTAGTTGCTTGTAACCGGATATCCCATGCCAAAGCAAAGCTTCCAACTGCAAAAACCAAATATTTAGGTTACTTACCCGTATTTTGATAGTGTGAACTGCCAAATTGCATTAAGCATGGTTATTGTGAGTTCAGATATGTAGAGTAGTTCAGAAGAGACTTTAGCAGGAGAACACTAAATTTTATCAAGATTATTAGAAACACACATTATACAGCGCTGGTACAACAATCATTATGACGAACAAAATTAACGTTACGGATCACCAAATAATTATGATGGAGGGAATATATCAATTTCAAAGCAATGGTAAAGTTTTTACAAAAAATGGTTCACCTGGTAACATATCGAAATATAAATTACATACAAAGAAAGATAATGGACGTTAATTAAATTGTCTGAAGGAAGCTTGTTAGGGTTAATTTTTTGGTCTCGTAATCCACAGTCATAAATTGTCATTGATTCCAAATATGATTGGTATGGTCCAAAATGTGAATCAAGAGTAATCACGTAATGAGAATATCAGTGCGACTGGCAAACAGCAGATATATTAGAGTTCTTTTATTGTGACATCTGGTAAATGAGAAAGAGAAGTATATGTGTTCAGCAGCGTATTTATGGGCGATAATCAATGTCACGCCATGAGAATTCAAAAGAGGAACAGAAGACCAAGGTCAAATTTTTAAACGATTTTAAAGTCAATGGTGATAAGTGTACAAATTAAGCGAACTTAAGAAAAAACATGTTATTAACAACAAAAACTAGTCACAAAATAAGTTTATGTTAACTGTTTCCAAGGCACCAAGGCACGGTACCAGAAATTTTGAAGCTGGCTCACATCATCGCAGTTTTCAAAGGGGATCGACTTAGAGAACCTTCAAGCTGCCGACCGGCAGCACTTCTTTCAGTGCCCTAGGAAAGTGTGTAGTCCTTGTATACGACAGTCTACGTGACTACTTGTCATCTATAAACTTATTTTCATTGCGATAGCACGATTTCGGGAAGGGTTGTTCTTTAATAATCGACCTGCTGACCGCGGTAGAGGAATGTGCAACTGTCCTTGATTTCAAGGGGAAGGTTCGTGTCACACACCTTGACTTCTCAGAAGCCTTTGAGAGTGTCAGTCATTTGTTTATTGTTGATAAGGTCAACCGACTGGGTATCAAGTCACCGTTAATTGATTGGCCTACTTCATATCTAAATAACTGACTTCTTATGGTGAGCATAAACTGTAATTTTTCTCGGGCTACAGAATTTCCTGGTGGGGTCCCTCAAGATTACTCACCAGGACCTGTTTTTTCCCAGTTTATTAAAACGATTTTCGTCAGCAGGTATTGTTTAATTGATTGTTTTTCACTGATAATGTGGAACTCTAGAGAGAAGTTTGGCACCAGGATGATAAACTGGCACTTCAGGATGATCGAACTTGACTTCAAAGTCGGGCGAACAACAACACCCCAAAGTGTAAACTAGTTCATCCGAGACATGTTGCAGACAACGAATACAACTTACGCATCTCCCCTCTAGAGGTACCCAGTTTGAAAATGATCTACGAGTTCTGATATCCTATGATCTGAAGTCGCACGCTAATTGCGACAAAGAAAGGCCTCCGAGTAAATCTTGCATTGGTATCTTTGAGGAACAGAAATTTCCGCCTAATCTTCAACAGTTTCACTCGTCCTCATTTAGAGTATGGAAACACAGTTTTTTCTTCTCACTCCAAAAGGATAAGGATACATTGGAACATATCCAATGACGAGCTACGAAATCAAGCAGGGGATCCAAATTCAAGCCTTTTGCAGAGCACCTCAAATCACTGAGCCTTTACCTGTTAGAGGTGACCTTCTGACGACTTATAGCACCCTGAACATTCCTGGGCACTTTCGAATACCTACTAATGCACAGTCCCAACGCAAACCTTAGGGGTAACAACCATAAACGAGGAATAACATAGCATAAAGGACTGCAGACACACCTAATCCTTAAGAGTGGCAAAATTCTAGAATCATTTACCGACTGAACCAGTCCAAGAAACTTCGCAGGAAGCCTTTAAGAGCAAACTTGACATATTCTTAAGGACTAATGACAGTATCTCGCTATAATAACTGGAGACACAGACACATTTACTCTTCAGGCGGACTTAAATAATATGATAAACTGGTCTAAAGAGTGGCTAATGCCTATCAACTCGGAAAAGTGTGTCTACATGCACTTGGGGGATTCAAAGGTTAATACGTACAACATAGGAGATGTGTCATTACCCGTAGTCCGGTCTCATAAGGACCTAGGGGTGACCGTGAGCAATGATCTTAAGACGACGGCCCATTGCCGGGAGGTCGCAGTTAAGGGGTTTCGAACCCTCTGGGCTTTAAAAAGGACATTCACTAAGCTTGATACTACCATGTTCACCACATTATACACATCCTTAGTGAGAACTAAGTTAGAGAACTGTGTTCAGGCTGCAAGCCCCTGTTTAAAAGGTGACTCAGACATACTAGAAAAGGTACAGAGGGCAGCTACGCGTGCGATTCCGGAACTCCGGGGTTTATCATACAAAGAGCGGCTTGAAAAACTGAACCTCTTTACTCTGTCCTATCGCAGACTAAGGGGAGATCTAATATTGATGTACAGAATACTGAGAAATGATTTCGGACCTAACTTATTCTCTCTCTTTCTTCCCACTAGATCGGGACACCTCAGAGGACATAGTAGGCGAGTAGAAAAGCCAAGAACGAACAAAATACCTCTGGCATACAGGTTTTCACACCGAGTCATCAATACTTGGAACCTGCTGCCTGAAGCAGTGGTATCCGCACCTTCAATTGACTCTTTCAAGAGAAGACTGGACACTCACAGAAGCATACTAGAAAAGGAATAACATAGGCCGTAGGCCTTCTGTCCTTACTACACAAATCTGAATCTGAATCTGAAATCTAATTTTTTTTTACTTTATTGTTAAATATATCTAGGTTTCTGCCTGGCAGAATCGGTGGTTCACTACTACTAGATATGGAGGCCTATTAAGTGAAAGCTTCTTCTATTCCGTCCAGAACTATTTGAAACCTTCAATTCACACTCAAACGTACCTCAATCAACCAATCACGAGTTGGGACGGATATTTCTCCTCGATTTCAGGGAGGGCAATTTGGAACCACAGGTTGTGTTTGTTGAAGCCGACAGATCTGTTCGCGTCTACACAGGCGATAGACTGATGGAAGAATTTCAGGGTGCATTAAATAGCTTTCAAAAGGACTGGTTACAGTTGCAAGTATATTTACAACGGCGTTATAAACCACATTCTGGTAATTTTTCTATAGGAAAAGCACTCATCACTGGTTATGTCACTGTACAAACTCAAGGAGGAAGAGACAAGTTGTGTCCGTAGTGTTAAACATTGTCGAAACTATATGAAACTTTTGAAGCATGAAATTGCAAGGTAATCTGTCTTTATCTAAAATTGGCAGTCTTCAAAAGAATGCTACGGGTGATGAGATTACCATACTTGAAAAAGCCAAAATCGATATTCTTAAGAAAGAGTATGTTTTACGGGATATTGAAGATGTTTTACCTCGCACACCAGGGTATGTAGACTCTGTGCGGATTTATTTAGATAGTTTGTATTTGCGTATCGTACTTGGAGCTCTTAATATATCGTTTGCTAACAAGGAGGACAAGTAATAACTAGGTTTTAGTAATGTGCTCAGATTCAGATACAAGAATGATTACGAACGGTTCAAAATCATTATTTCGGGAATATGTGCATTTTTGGCGTTTCTGCTATACTTTTACGTTCAGAATAGGTGAGTTCGTCGTTATGTTATTAAAGATAGTATATGTATTTCACTATTGTCAAATAATCATGACTTTTTCGCATCAAGTGTTTGGAAAAAGGTAATTCTGGCTGTACGCTGTTGCAAGTCTTAAACTTTGATAATAATACTGTGTGACCACTTTGCGGCCTGAAGAAGTGTTAAGCACATCGTCACTCTCACGCCCTAGTATGTAATCTAATTGCGAAAGCCTCCAGTTGATGTTCGAAAGGCGTGGTTTGAAATACTTTTGTTAAAATAATCTCTCAGTTATTCATAGGAAAATATCACCCCGTTAATTCTTCAGCGGACATTTTCAGATGCTTATGTGGTGTATCAAGATCCTCTTTCGTTAGACATCAATTGTTCTGATGACAGCGTCTATGGGATTCTTATGTAAAATCACTGACTGAATAGACTGGGTCACATTAGGATGCATCAATAGTAAATACCCAACCTTAAGAATTGACTTCATAACATCACCTTAAATATCTCCGCTACAAGGAATTTATAATTGAGGAAGCATGGTTCATTACGGTCCTTCTGATAGAATTAAGTTTGATCTCCTTTGTAATGTTTAGTTCTGTCACTGAGTGGATGACGATATCTTGTTTACTCCAAAGTTATGATCGGATTACATGTAATAGTTGTTCAAGTAATGGCAAAAAATCATCGGACATAGTTATTGTCTCAACACTTACTTTACCGAACATTTCCAAGGTCAGAAGCGTTTATGTACAAGCTGTTCAATAGGTTCATATCCTAAAACTTTTCTGCATAAATCTCTACAACATTGAGTGCCGAAATCTGACTACCTATCACGAAGGTCGCTAATTAAGGTCTTTGTTCGTCCCGTTGCCTAGATCCTGGTTCAGCAAATACTTCTGAGACTTATTAGCTTATAAGGACCTGTCGAATTTTAAGAAAAAGGGTTTCAACAGGTTGTGATGGCAGTAAGTGCTAATCTTCTTAGTTAGAACTCACAAGTACTACTTGGTTGTATACTCCACTATGACCTTAATTTGTCATTAAACTCTGCTGATACAAAGATTTTGGAGCCACTGATATAGGTAGGATTTAAGGATAACTATGTAGTAAAATATTTTTGAACTTGCGTCGTCGTGACTGGATCATGTCGAGTCATTTAAGCTGATGACAACCAGTAGTTTTGGACAATGATGTCGACCTTCACTTTTTAATTTTACTTCTCATAAAACCTAGCAACATTCTGATAAATGCTGTACAGCATTCTCTATTGTGTTATTGTGCAAGTATGTGACCTGGGTGTCGTAAGTAGATGATTTTAGAAGACTGGAAACTTCCTGCTGTCTTGGAGACCGAGTTCGCTTTTCACCTGTCTAAGTGTTGATGTTCAGGTAGCCTTAAAACCAACTACAGTGTATCCACTAATGTGCCTGACTTCCAACCACACTGCATGAGGACTATAAACAATATGAGGCTTCAAAACACAATAAGGTAGAATGGATATTAAATCTACATTGAGTCTAAATTTAAATCTTAATTGTTAGGGAAATCTGCTTAAAATGTTGAACGTTAAAAAAGGAAGGGAAGTTAACTTTTTAGCGTAACTTATGCATCCCTAATCACTTGAGGTATGAGTTTTCCTAGTATGTTGTGGAGAGCATTTAAAGTTATCCATAATTCCTATATCATAATACGGTTTTCTGTATAGTTTGGTATTTTTCACTTCTTTTCATCTGTTAAATTTGACATACTGCAATATCTCTCTACTGTACAAGGGTTTATGTTTCTGAATAATGTATGATCCTATACTCAGTTCAGTTGAAAGTAATGACTTCGTTGACAATTATTCATAGCCAACGTTAAAACTTGGTGGACATGTGTACCAGAGTATTTGGTAAATGAGTTAATCATATGTGCAATTAATTATCTTGCTGTCAATTTGTCATTTGTTTTTAGAATTGTGGATACTATTTTTCATTTTCTATTGGTATGGTACTATTGCACACTAACTATTCGCGAACGCATTCTTATTGCCAATGGGTCACGCATTAAAGGGTGGTGGAATATATCTCATTTTATGTCAACAGCCTATTCTGGTATTATGCTTATCTGGTGAGTGGTATTCGAGTTAGTTGTAAACTATCGATTGATCGCTTAATAAAAATATTTCTCTCCCATCTACTTTGAAAGGCTATGTTTTGTATGCATTCAAGCTCTATGTCATCGTAGTTTGGTGTAATTATATGGATTATTCTGTTTATTTGATCATGTCTGATGTTAATAGATAAGAGTGCTTAACTTAGTAGCTAGATATTGAATACTTACGTATTAGAAGTCGATTAGTAAACTGTTGGACTAAATTTTATTCAAGGTAGAAAATATAATATTGGTTAATTAAAAGATATATTTTTAGTTAACACTGATAATTGTATTATATCTCAAGCAAATATCTAATCCTTAATCCAGGAGGGGATAGATACCTTACATTTAGATCATTTGGTTATTTATCATATTCACTGGTTGTTAATGTTTGGCTAATTGCAATCTATAATTAAGTTATATCCTCGTATCTTCATATCCTTTTAATTACATTCTAGGCCTAGATCTCGTTCGTATGATGAATTTCGTGATCAGTTCATGCTTTTTTGCTTATACCTAAGTAAGTAATGATTTCAATAATTTGAGATTTAATCTGATGATATTCATCTGGATATAATTCTTTGCTCGCTTGTCTTTCTAGGCTGTTTTCAGACGGATCCAGAATACTCAGAGAATATAGTCCTGCTAAGTGAAATGGTTGGAAAGTACGGTTTTGTGAACAAGTAACAGTATATAAGTGTTTAGGGTGTATTTTTCACTCAACAAATACGGTGTTGTTTCAAGACTAACCTGTGTCAGTTTTATTTGTGTTGGTCAGTCGGTCGCAATGTAGAATCTGGTGCGTATGTACGTCAGTCCAAGTTTCCACACCCCATTAGTAGAGCGAGGTGTTGTTAGACCAAATCCCAGAATAGTAAAGGTACTAACAATATGAGTAGTGATTAAAAAGATTGGGCATCGAAAATACTATTAGAGAATAAAATATAAATTAGTGCGACAAAAAGATTAAGAGGAATTGAAAAGCTTAGGATATGAGGGAAGACAAAAAATAGATATGCCTGTGCCACTATAAACAGTTTTAAGCCATTTCATTCAAAGTCTAACCACTGGTTAAGATGATCACTCGAACCCCAAAAGAGTAGTCTAAACCCATTAACACGAGTCAGTCTAGTTGTTAATGACAATGAACTGATGCCACGTTTCTGTTTGACCACCTCTAGCTTTCTTCCAGCTTGCTCGTACACCAGACAAAATCATTCGTCGAGATAGTTGGCGGTTGGGCACACGTAACATCTGTCCTAACCACCTCAGTTGATAAATATTTATAACCCCAATTGACTCGCCATCTTTACCTAGTATCCTATTCCTGACCCAAACGTTGGTTAATCGGTGGTCCAAAAGTACATGGAAAATGCTTTTAGGACACCTATGTTTGAGTACTAGTAATCTACGAATGTTATCTATTCGTGATATTTCGCACTCACAAAGTAGAACAGAGTAAACTGTTGTACAGTGAATTCGTCCTTTAGTTGGGAGATGGATATTTCGCCTACGCCACAGGTGATGCAAATTGGAAAGAGCCAGTCGTGCTTTTGGTATCTGTACCGAGATTTTGTCAGACACCAGGCCATAAGTACTGATGAGACTCAAGATCAGTGAGGCGGTCGATACGCTCGACTACTTTGCCTCCTGTTATTAATTCAGGCGCTGACGCAAGCCAGTCCCGGAGCAAAATTTCGCTTTTGGGGTGCGAAAATCATATCTTAATGTGGTCATGGGACTGTATTTCGTTAGTGTTTTAACCGAACAAAACTATATTATTTGTGTACTCTAAGTCTACAAGTGAATTTACTATCATAAGATCAACCTCAGGAAAATCGGATGATGAAAATGTTGTCTATGACAGAGTTAAATAAAAATGGGTAAAGCGGAAAACCTTGACGTATACCACTTAAAGTAACCAATTCCGATGACCGTTCATCATAATAAGCTCTGACTCAACTAGTAGTGTTCCAGTAGACAGCCTACACAAGGTTAATGTACTTCTCTGGTATGCCTTTTAATGACAGACACTGCCACAGAACCTCACGATCAACAGTGTAACGCAGCCCCAAGGTCAAAGAATATAATTATGGTCTGACGTCGAAAAGTATGTCTATGTCCCAGAATCTGCCGAAGGTCGAATATTCGGTGTTGGCGAGATATCCATCTGGTAGCCAATAGGCGTGTATGATGTTCAGCAGTCCGGACTATATCATGTTATTGCCTCCGTCATGGTCTCTAAGAGTAGAAGATATATTTTCTGAAGCAGTTTTTTGACTATAGGTGTCTTCGAAACATTGCTAGCGTTTTGTGGAACGACTGAGTGAGGAATGCTGAGGTGTTAGGTGTAGGGCACTTGACAAAAGTGGGACATCAATTCATGAGGTTGTAAACCTTCAGCTACTGTGGTGGTCAGAATATATGTTACGTGTGCCTAACCGCTGCCTACATCGACTATCGATGGTTGTTAGTTTAGGAGTAAGAGTAAGTTGAACGAAAGCTAGTGGCAGTCAAACCAAAATGTGTCGTCAGTCCGTGAAGTCATTGACCGTTGGTCTAAGCCGTGTCAGTTGGTGCAGACTACTTGATCGGCGCCTGCAAGACATTCACAATCAGTGATTGGTGACTGTAAGTCACACGGCTCAGAATCATTTACATTCGCGCGGACTGATCCACTCCTTATCTTCCTCTAGATCTTATATTCAATTATTCCTTCATATATGCTTTCCCATTTCGTTTTTTTGAACCCTATTCTCAATCTATTGTCTTTCTCATTGCCATTGGCACCACATTCCTCAAATCTCTTGCCAGTCATCTTGTTAGTTTCATCTTGTCGTGCTAATTCAGCATGGGAACTTGACCAAACGCACATCTGTGTTAGACTCTATGTTGATAATGACTGACTGTTGAGTGAGTGTTTCTGTTTTTGTCATTATCGTCGTTCTTCAGCAAGAAGTCTTTGTAAATAACGCCTTTATTGAAATTTTCTTGACCATATGACCAACTAAGCATAGGAAGGACTATTACATTTTTTGGCCATTCCCTCGTGATATCATACATCATGTGGATAGTTTAGATGGGTGACGTGTGTGTTTCCTATATATAGCGATCATGTCCACGTTGGTATCTGATTCGCTAAAGTATTTTTAAAGTTGTGATCCTATTTTGATGCACTACATTGCGTTAGTATTAGCGAATAAAATCTTTATCATTTTACATATATTTTCATCTTACTGATCCGATTGAAATGAAATCAGACGTCCTAACCTCATAGAAAAGGTATACTCAAGTTACAATTGTATTTTTGATGTATTTATTTTCCCGACTGCCGTTCAGACTACAATCTACCAATTTTAATTAAAACAGTTTGGTGTTCTTTATTGCTGTCCGGTCAGTGTACCTTATAGATTGAGATACTGACTTAGATTGTTAATCAGTAAGTTGTACCGAAGGAGATAATGGTGTTCACACAGCTTCGTTGTCATTAAATGCGTGGTGTTCTTATTCACATTTCTGTTTTGAAAATTAGTTAATCATTGATAATTCTTAAAAATTTATATTTTATAGTCAGCGGAAAGGCAAAACAGAATTGTTTTTACTCATGTGTTTCGTTATTTAATGCTAATAACTTTATCAGAGTACTATTCATTATACTAATTAGCAAAACGTTGTTAAGAACACAATTTTGCTTTGTTTTTTCATCAATTGTATAATACAAATTTCTAGTGATAATACCACTCTCCCAATGCCCAAATTTTTTTAAACCATTAAATCATCGATAATAATACTGAAAGTTCCTATTTTCAGATGAACAAAAAAAAAACAAATAGGTTCACTTTAAATGATATTTTCTTGTTTGTATTGGGTCAGTCATGTATAAAGCGGGGTATGGATTTGATAGTTATTAGAAATAAATAGGAAATTGTTAATATTCTAAGAAGCGATTTCACTTTATTATGTATATATTCAGAATTAGAAACCATCGTCGTAAGAGATGTTGTTTGTATAGTGATCACAATTTTTCGGCCATAAGTCCGTGTTTAGTTAAGATATCTGTACATTAATCATCTGTAATATAACCAAAATAGATTGTACCGTATATCGTGGATGTAATTAACATTCTTTTGAATAATATAGGCCTTGCACTATTTGTTTATGTTTGATATAATGGGCAAGAATTGGGCCTCATTGACAAGTCTTAGTTCATTGGAGAGTGAGTAACCTGCAAAACTAATTTCCTCTAATCGTTTAGGACATTTAACTATATTTATTTTTCGGCTAATAATTTATAATGAACCATATTATTTTGTTAAAAAATTCCTATCCTTCTGACTGGTCTTGTTTGTAATATCAAATCGTTCGAGGCCTTACGTTAATAATTCGGTCTCATGAACAACTATCACTTGGCCATATTGTGTCATTCATTGGATATTATGCATTAGTCGACGTTTTTTTATTTTAACAATCGAAAATTGGTTCGTGGAATCACACTGCATATTACTGTTTAATTTTTCTCTTTCAATTTCGAACAGTTCCTTAGCACGTATTCGTTTATTTATTCCCTCTCTTCCCTGTTGCTTTTTAATATCTTTCTGCTTACTTCTCTAACAGTCTATGTTCTATTGAGAAATGTTGAGCAACTGGAAAGAACTGTACACTTTTTGTGGTTTGTCTCCCAGATTCCTGTATCTCCTGCAATAATTTTTGCTGATAATGTTTTTTTTTCTTTTACAGATCTTGTTCATTTTATACAATTTCAATATCAAATAAGTTGCCTGTATAAACTTCGTACTTTGGGTTGTCGACATCCAATGGATATAACTGTTGGTAAATTAATGGACTTTATTATTTATTTTGAAGTATTTTATTGACTTCTGTGAAAGTATTTATATTGTATCGTCATATATATGGGTGTACAGTAGGACGTGGTTTTATATTGAAATTATCTATTTGACTGAGTTTGTGGTCTGTGTTCAATGTTGATTGTGTGAACTATGTTCTATGATACATTATTATACTTAAATCAGTCATGTAATACAAAGTGTCTGGTTATTTAGTGTGATTGTAAGTTTTGTTCCTTATGGATTAAATCAGTGAATTGATAAGATTTACGATGTGCTTTCATCGGGTTAAATCGGTTGAGATTTGTTAACATAAAGTTTCCCATCTCGATCTTTCGATACTGGCCTACTCAACTGAGGAGAAATTTTCTGAGACGGCACTGTTCAATATCTGTAATCAAAGTTTTGTAATTTTTACTTAATGATAGTACATTTTGACGTAGAATCAATTCTATCAGGTAATTTTACTTTGAACCACTGTCAGATGGTGTTATAACTTGTGACAGCAGATTAGAGCGCAGAGAATTATCGATCGGACCAAAGACGCTTAAACACATGAGAACAACCTAGAGTCCTGATTGGTTCTGCTTCCCTGTCTAGCCCAGCCAGTTGAGTCCAGAACGCAAGTCTCATTATATTTTAAGCATACTGAGTTTATATTTGAAGCAAGTGAAGTAGTTTCCAGATGACTTACCTCCGGCTCTTTTTAAAGATGGCGGTGACTTTCTGACTAAGGAATTAACGACGTTTACAAAGGTTTGGGAGCTAGAGAGTGTACCTACGTCATGGAATGAATCGATAGTTGTCCCTGTCTTTAAAAAGGGTTCATGTCGTTCCTGTAACAACTATTGGGGGATAAGTCTACTTCCGATTGCGTCCAAGCTATTGGCTTCCGTCATACTTCGTAGGTTGTTCAAAACCTGAGAAAGATTGACTCGCGAGGAGCAGGCTGGGTTTCGTTCTGGTCGAGGATGTATTGATCATATCTTCACCCTCCGCCAAATGTTAGAACATCGCCATACTTTTCAAAGGCCAACAATCGTAGTGTTTCTTGACATCAGGGCTGCCTTCGATTCGTTGGACAGGACTGTTCTCTTGGATTGTCTATTGAAGAAGGGTGTGCCTGAGAAGTTTATTAACATCCTAAAAGCCCTATATACAAACACCTCAGGCAGAGTGAGGGCATACAACCACCTCTCTCCATTGTTCCATTCGAGCAGTGGGTTTAGGCAGGGTTGCCCAATCTCACCATTCCTCTTCAACTTTGCCATCGATGACATTCTGGAAACAGCTCTGATGGATGTAAGTAATGGTGGTGTGGATCTGTTACCTGGAGAAAGACTTCTCGACCTTGAGTATGCGGACGATATTGTCTTACTGTGCGATAATGCCCAAGGCATGCAATCCGCACTTAATCAGTTGGCAATCAGTGTCCGTAGGTATGGTATGTGCTTTGCACCTTCGAAGTGCAAAGTACTTCTACAAGACTGGCAGGATTCCAATCCTGTACTCACCCTGGATGGTGAGCAGATAGAAGTAGTCGAGAAGTTCGTGTATCTGGGTAGCTGCATAAGTGCTGGTGGGGGTGTGAGTGATGAGATCAATGCACGAATAGTGAAAGCCAGAGCGGCTTATGCCAATCTGGGCCACCTTTGGCGCCTTCGTGATGTTATTCTGGCTGTAAAAGGTCGGATCTACAACGCGTTGGTGAGGGCAGTTTTGTTCTATGCCTGTGAAACCTGGCCTCTCCGAGTTGAAGACGTTAGACGACTCTCTGTGTTCGATCATCGCTGTCTCCGAAGGATTGCTGACATTCAGTGGCAACACCATGTCAGTAATGCAGAGGTTCGGCATCGTGTGTTCGGGCACAGAGATGATAATTCAATTGGTGCCACCATCTTGAAACACCGACTTCGGTGGCTTGGACATGTTCTCCGAATGTCGTCCCAGAGAATTCCACGTCGTGCATTATTTGCCGACTCTGGGACTGGTTGGAAGAAGCGGAGAGGTGGTCAGTGCATGACATGGTGTCGTGGTATGAAAGAAAGCTGCAAAGGACTGGCTTGTGTTGGTCCTTCACGACTCCCTGGTTGGGGTCTGAGAGATGGTGCTACACAGTGGCTAGAGACGTTATCAGATATGGCTCAGAATAGAATCCAGTGGCGATCCTGCTGTAACCTTCTTTTACTTTCTTCATAAAAAGTGGTTGTGTCTCCTTTACCTGAAAGATTTCTTCTGATTGTACCTTTCCGTTCCCTCATTACTACTACACTACCTTACACCAATCTCTTCGTTATTGTTCTCTTTTTTTTACACTCCTCACCTTTTTTTCTCTTCGAATTCTCATTGTTTTGTGTGGCGCATATATATTGGCGCTCTCTTGTACCAATATTCATGTGTTCAAATGAATAAATAAATAAATACTGAGTTTATATACCAAACACCGACCACAACGTACCAATAAAATATGAACAACATTTTACAGGAATTAGCCAGATGTGGCTGTGAATGACGGAGGTAGCGGTTAACAGACAGGGAATAGTTCATGAATGGTAAATCGTATAATAATAGTTCATAGGTCAAAATAAAGCTCATAATAAGAGGGGTATGAATATGAACAGTTTAGTTACATAACAATTATACGATAAAAACATACTCATAATATTGGTCCATAAATGGATCCAAAAAATTACTATTCATTATTCCTATCGGGATACAACAGATGGTGTTGAAAGACATCAATGAGGTTTTATGCCATTTATTAACACACTGAGGTTCAAGACATTGATATGATTTTGAGTCTTCATTGGTAAACTGTTCATTGTTAACGTGATTTTCTGTCCCTTTTTTGTATGTTGTCTTTCCCTGTTTTTGATTTTTGTATTCTAAGGTATTTCAGAGTGGGGCAACCGAAATCAATTGTAGTTAAAATTATTAAGTCATGTTTGATATACTTCTTAAGTAATATGCTAATTCATTCCACTGGATAATTTCTTTTCACAGATGGTTTCATGTCATGGATGTTTCGTCGAATTACGTTCGTCCTACCTTTCCTATTTGTAGTATACGGTTTTGAACTATACATGGCTTATAATCTTTACGTCATATCCCAACAGAGCTATTGTCACGAATGGCAGGTCAGATATTATTTAAATGTTTGCAAAATTACTTAATATAAAACTGATATCTTATAAATATATACAGGCCAAGTGGCAAATGTGATTACATTTTATCAGCGTTTAGTGACCGAATCCATTTTATTGGGGGTTAAAAGAAACGAAATAAAACTAAGTAACACTAAGTTAATATTAATATTTGTTAAGGTTCCATGCTTGTTATTAATTAAACGTATTAATGCTTCTTAAGATCCACGAATAACAGAAAGCAGCTTCAATCAATCACAGATTGTGGTTTAACTAGATTCGCACTATGCATTCAATTGTAGGTGTTCTATTTGTTTCACAACATTCCTTTTCAAAACTATGTTTTATTCAAATAATTGACAAAACCTGTGTGGTCTTTATTGTCTTTTGTTGAATTTTTCTGTCTTTATCCATCAGCGTCAGATTTTTATGTAGGAAGTGGCATAGTAAGCTTTTTTCACCAAATATCTTTACCTTCGTAACTGTCCAACGTTTCAGCAAGTAGACTCCTGAAAAATACTATAATGCTTAGCGACCTACCAGGTTTTCCGAAAGCTTCAGTAATACGATTAGAATGTTGGATAAACTTTAGTACGATAGAAATAGTTTGTACCAGCCTACTGTTAGCGAATATATATGGAGATTTTTTTGGTCTCTCTAATAGTTTCTAATCCGATTTTTCACTTGGTAGACAATGTCAACATCAGTGGTTCGAACAGCCATCTACTTCATGGATCATTTCAGTCTATTCAGCTTGCCGCTTAAAGCTCTTTCTCTACAGTTAATTTTGAAACCCAAAGCAAAATAGTCCATTTCTTATTAGAAATGATTGACATTCTAAGCACTTCAGCTGGTTGATATTCACATCAGCAACCCACTCTCTTCATTCACTTAAGACTCTACACCTAAATTCAATATTTTTTACTTACTAGTCATAAAACATTCCAGCAATGCTTAAGTAGATTTGTTTGACTCACTAATCTATTCTCCAACTTTTATTTACTTGTACATACCAAATAACTAGAGGATCACTTTAATACCTAACGACAAACAATGTCTTTAGTGGTGAGTTTTGTTGTGAATCGTATTTTACCTACATTACTGTCAGTTATCAAAAAATTCAATCTGTAACCTAAAAGAGTACAAATGAACCGACTCAACTCATTTCGCAAATTGAGCACAGTTATTTTGTTTTTTTTAAAATACCTTTTTCATCTTAAGTGATTTTTTACAGTTGTCTTTTATTATGTTATGCTAATTAATCTTGTATTTAAATAGTGATGTTTATAGATTTCACCTCAGCCACTTAGTTCCACAACATCTTCGATTTACACCCAGATGGTTTTTTCGGATGAATCACTGGTTCATTTTAGAACGGATCATAAGGATTTAACATATATCGTCTGATGTTTTTCCGTACGATGTCGATCTTGGGACTTAATAATAATAACAATAATTCTAGCGGAATAGCATGAATCCATTTTATTTTGTTGGTTTTCGTCAGCCTCTTACAGTCTCTAATATTTAAAAATCATAATTACGAAATGGGTTTAAATTAATTACATGAGAGAGTTTAGTCGGAAGTTATGTTGAAAACATATTAGCATAGCAAGGGTGTAAATAAATTTAATAGACTGAATATTGTAAATATATACCTCATGTAAGAGAAAATTCCACAACATTGATTGTGACAACAGTTCAAGTGGCCAGAAACAAGTGATTACGTAATGAGTAAACGCCGATAGGAATAAAATGAGTAAAGCTCAGTTAGGAAAATAAGATTACTGATCTGGAAGATAGTTGAAATAAAAACTCAATGATGTAATAAATGCAAGAAATTCAGAAAAGTTCAAGATGTAACAAAGGTATATTTGTCGCCAATCCAAGGAAAGATTAATAACCATCTCATTTTGAACACGTAAATCAGGTTTTTGACGCCTGACAGCAACAACTTCAGCAAACTTCAGAGTTGAGTTTGGCTGCTTATTAACCACCTTGACAAATTGAAAGGTATCGATCTGATGTCCTGTATCCAAGATATGTTTGGTAATTGCACTGTTTAGAGTCGTTTTTTCTTGTTGCAAGGCTTTTTGGAACATGCTCAAAAAACCAAAATATACCCTCCTTTCTGTTCGGCCAATGTAGCTGCTTTGGTAGGTACACGTAAATTTATAAGTACAGTTGGAATTAACGTGGAAGGGGTGCTTGTCAACCTTTGATTAGGTTATTGAACATGTTGTTTTATACAGAATTAATGGTTTGGTTGCCGGGTAATTTCTGGCTAGTGCAGTGTTAAGCCTCCTGTTGATTGTGCTTGTGACGTCACCTTTGAAGTTGAGATTTATGGATATTGGTTTTTTATTGACTGTAATCACTTCCGTCTTGTCTTCTATAGGTTATAAATATATATTTGATAACAACATTTTCATGTTTTATTACTATTCACATTTATCATACTGTACTAATAATCTCCCTTTGATGTAAGTTTCATTTCAACAGTATTATTTCATTAAAATCATAAGCCGATTTATGTTAAATCATCATTAAAAATCTAAGCGGCCGTTTTGTCCTAGCATGGAGCTCCTCAGCAGTGTGCATCAACGACTCCACACGCACGAATTGAACTCACAATCTCCGTTCTCGTACGTGAATGCTTAATCTCTAGACCACTTAGTTGGGATCAACAACCCTATACTAAAAATAAATTTTATTATTTTTTGTTTAGCTGTAAATATAATTAGTGAATTACGTACACATTTTCTTTTCGACCAACGATGATCATTCTGATAACTTACTGTATTATGATTATAATGTATTTTCTATTAAAGGTGCCTGCTGTATCAATCATTTATTTCATACTAGCAATGGGCAGTATTGTGACAGTTTTACAAGTGATACGTCAAAAGATTTGTGCACCACCACCTATTGTACTTCATGATCATTTAACGAAAAAGTATAGTTTTGCTGTACCAAATGAAAAATTTAAGGCTTATGACGAATTCGGTGATAATGATGATACAACGACAGAAAAGGTCATCACATAATTATCGTGTATACATACTTGCTGAATTGAATTTTTGTGTATCATTTATTATGAAAATATTTCCCTTCTGTTTTGTAAAGAAAATAAAATAGAATCATTTATAGCTGATCTCTTTTCCAATAAAAAAGGTGTCTGTGTTGATTCCTATAATTCCTGTATGTGTTTTTAATATATACTATTGAAAATATATGATTTACACATTTCTGTCAACTCAATTTCTTCTGTTTGCATGCTTTTTTTAACTCTGCAACATTCTCTCCGACGTTAAAAAGCGAATTAAAGTTACATTTTTACTATACCTTTGAAGTTTCGTGTTTTACAGTTGACGTATACAGATATTTTTCTATTATGTATGTAGTGCTGTGTATATGACGATCATCCTTTCTTTTGCTTCGCAAGCTAATTTTATAGTTGGCTATCATTATTGAAGAACAAATTTCCTTATCTATACTCACAAACCATTTTTATATTTGATCCAGATAAACAAGACATTGGACGTTTTATTACCTTCACTACTTGTTTGTTCAGGTAAATTATAATATTTTATTCTCAAAGATATCATACTTCTATGAATTTGGTGATCATCTTTTTGTGCTAATGGAGTGAGGCAACTTGGACCGATGCATATATGTGCCTGGTCCTACGTTGTAGCTGACTGACTCATACTTAATGTATTATTTATATTACATACGCTTGGATACTATGTATTTTCCTCGTTCTCCTAATTTATTGTATACATTATTATTGTACATGTTGTTTAGCTTGTATATTTCCAATTAGTGTTTTTTGAATTCACATATTTTGATAGTATGAAAAGCCTAGTTTCAAAATTTTTAAATGTCAAAGTATATTCATTTCATTAGTTTAATGTTGTCTTGATGAAAAAAGAATATATTCTATGACCTAAATGAGGTTTTCTCTTGTAGAACTAAACATTCAATATTTAAGTCATTGCTCCACACTAGTCTTTTATAACACTGTTCATATCCACCTGTGTGAAAAAGTTCTTGTTATATCCGCGCCGCTTATTATTTATACTTGAAAAATACAATGAATCAGGACGCGAAGTAAGAACATGAAGACTAGTACAAGTGAAGATTTATCAATCCCAAAACAAGACCACCTTAATTGCAAATACACTCAATATATATTGATTAGACACTCATTTTGATTATAAATTAAAATAAAATCACAGAAATAGAAAAATACCCAGAGTAATAGCAAAATCACATTTCTATCAGGCCCAGCATAGTTCATGTGGACTTAATACAAGAATATCGTATCTTAAAGTGACATCATTCTCTATTAAATTAATATTATAACCAATAACATATCACAATGAAAACTAAAAACGAATATTACATCACATTGAATTAAATATACGGAAGTAATTTTGAATAGAAGTAACAATGAGTAAAAGGCATTAATCTTGTCTTTTTCATCCCGTCATATCAGTTTTAAAGGATAAAATAAAACTACGTTTGTAAGTAGGGAATTACTTAAAATTACGATCTAACTTACAGACCATTTTCTTTGCTCAATGAAAATGCAACCAGATTCTTAACTATGCTTTCCTTGAGATTCAGGCTAGCTTTAAACTTTAGTCGTTAGTTGTAATAATATTCACACAGGTACAAGTTTCTTGACTTACAAATCGTTAGATAATATTTAAATGCTTTACAGAGCCGAAAAGGGCTGGGAGTCTTGTATGTATGAACACCGTTGATATTCGCTTCAATATGATCTATTCAGAATCTGGATTTGAAAATAGGAAAAACACTGTATAGCGTTTCAGTAATAACTTTGTTGAGAGTTAGAAATGCAATAATAGCTTGTACGATTGAAAAGACCCTGTTGGTTACCTGGATGTCTGTCCTTTGTTTTTAGACTACCCGCCCAAATATTGGATTTTGTTGCTTGGAACAAAATTAATTTGATACATGACTGCTAGATGTATATTGGTTGTTGTTCAAACCCGTTGGTTGAACCCTGTTTCGAACTTGTTGGAGTGTATGCCGAGTTAAAGAAGATGCATTAGTAGCTTTCAAGTTTTGAATTTAATGAGACCTAGTCTGACTGCACATTAACAACGACCAAATCGACAGGTATCATTCCGGACCAAGGGTTTGGTGGGACAGTAGTAAGTTTATATTCAAATTACATTAGGTCATTCTATGAATGCACTTGAAAAGCTACAAATCCATAGTTGGAGAATATATTCATAGCAGTTTCCTGAAATCCGAGATATGAATCTTTGGGATACGGTATAGATCGATGATAAGAATTTTTACTTCAGTATAGCACACAGTTTTATAATAGTGGCATCATGTCAGATTAAATGACAATGACTGTCTTTCCACTTAAAGTGATTTAAAGAAATCAGAATTTTCACTAAAGACGAGATGATTAATAAGAATCAATATAAAGTAAATACAAATCATGTAACGGTAAAAGATGTTCTACTGATTTTAAAAAATATCGACCTGGTAAAATGGTGTACTTAAATATATACAGTCATATTCAAATGTCATTGTTACTAGTGAATCAAATTGTCATCAGGAGAATCTGGTGCGAAAAGAACAAAAAGCAGCAAAACAGTTACAGGATCGTGAATAGTTGATAAGATTTTCAGTGTTCACCTTTATTGTACCCTTTGCAAATTAAGGTATTGGATACACAAATCAGGGTTGAAAATGTGAATTACTATGAACTTCACAGTTTAAAGCCGTTTTACGCCCACACTTTATAGATCCTGGTAGCTTTGTGTAAATAATGCCAAAAGTACACAATGAATCAGTGTGAAACCAAGAAACGATTATGATTCGTGTCGGCGGCACATGGTGTTTTTTCTCTGCACAACCATATCAGTATATGTTCGGCTCTTCATTCGGGAAATACTGAGTCCAGTGAATTAATCTTGCTCAAAAGCATCAGATAGACTCGGAGATACGTATGGAGGCTGTCAGACTTTGTATTTCATCCTCTTTTATATTTGAAGCAATGGCTATGTGAAGAGAATTAATCGGAATTTAACCGAATAAGCTGTCTTTATCAGAGGTCGAAATGTTCGACTTTCCATTAGCCATGACACAAAGTCTCTATTGAACCACAGATCCATGGGAAATGTTTTCTTAAGTACCTGTAGTGAAAAAGTTTTAATGGATGTAAATCTCATGGAAAAGTTTCTTTTTTTACTTAGTAGAAATTTTTAAGTTGATAACCAAATGCTGGTTTTCCAACTTAACAATGTTTTCTCTGAAACAGTAATCAATTAAAAGCTCAGAAGATGTGACATCAGACCTAAGGATTATATAATCGCTTAGTTATAAATTTGTTACATAAGAATAAGAATTAAGTTTGAAGTGAAACAGCTAGACAAGAGTTTAGTGTTATTTCAATATTTATTGAGAACTTAACGTGATCTATCTGTTTTAATACCTAATTTTCTTTGTACCTATTTTATTAATTAAACTAAACATTTATGTCCAAATGCTTCACTTCAAACTTGCTGAATTCTTATTCTTATTTAACAAATTTATAACTAACCGATTATATAATATTAGGTCTGATTTCACGTCTATTGAACTTTTAATTAATTACTGTCTTAGAGAAAACATTGTTAAATTGACCAACCACCATTCACTTTGTGACTGAATTAACTCTTAACCGCAATATATATATTGCTAATGTGATAGCTTCTTTTGTCGATTAATTTCATGCAAGACTGTACTTCACAAACTGTATACAATATTTGTTTTATTATTAGATAATTGGGCATATTTTTTCTAAATACTGTTATGGAAGATAATATCCATAATCATACTTTAAAATGACAGATATTAATCTTGAACATTGAATAAACACACACAGATGCAACTTAGTATTTCATCCAATTTTAATAAAATTAAAATTATTTAAAATGTATTGAGATAATAATAATTTAGTTACCAATGGTCATGAGTTAACTAGTCGTAGTCTGAGTAGGATCTGATGTGAATGTGTATCTGTCTAAGTTATTACAACGAGAAAATAAATTGATATGTGAAGAGCACAAGAGGAAATATAATTTAGTTCGACGAAAAGATAAATGTAAGGACATATGTAGGTGGATTGCGTCGCAAACTGACATCAATCGGGGTACCGTCGGAAAGTATAGAGCTCTGCATAGTTGTTTTGTTTTAGTACGAGATTCCTTAATAGCACGTATTCCCGACCCCATAACAGATTGGACTTGAGGACTTCAATTCTCTCTATGGCGCTAAAACCAATAGACTACATGGTTGGCATTCAAATGTACATTTCCCCAACTTTGATTGACTCAAACTATGGCTCGTTCATTCGCTGTTCTTGATGATAACTTTCACTACTGAAGTATCTGAATTCCACCAGTTATGACTTCCCATTAGAGTCTAAAAAAAAGTATTTTGAAGTAAGCTACAACAGAGATCTAAACCTTCGTATTAATCAAATCAACGGTGAGTGTTATATAGAGGGATGAGATCTAAATAAAGCCCTGTTTGACTTTGCTTCTTTGTTCATTTGTACTCATCAATAAAGTACGTATGTAATCTTGATACCATTGACATTCTCTGTGTTATTTAAACTCATGTTATTAAGTTCCATGATAAAATATGTCACCATTGAATTGTATGGTCTGTGTCTAACTTCCAGTTGGGACTGAGATATTTACGTTGATTGATTATTAAATGCTAATCACTCTCATGTTTTCCAGTTCTTACTTTGGCGCCCTATAGTTTTCATCCCATCATATTCCTAACTACAAGCCGATTATAAATGAAAGAAAGAACTGTACAATTAATTAACTTTTCAGATTTGTTTATGTGAATGATTTCGGTTTATCGATAGAAGCATACTGGAAGCAGAAATCCTTTACTTTTGATTATCAACTAGCATATGACTTAGCTTAAGGTTTCCAACCACCTGAAATCCAAACTGTGCACGCACTAGGAAATCATTTAGATATCAGGTCAAATTGAAACTTGATCGGCAGGTGTTAGCGGGACATAGACTAGATTAAAGCATGCTCAATTCACGATTGCTTTGGTGCACGCTGATTGGCTAATTCTTAACCAATCAGCACTAGTCGATAGTTGGAGAACACTCTAGAATCTTCTCATGTAGAAAACTATAAATATACTGACGTTTTTCTCTATTGTGCTTCTGACTTGCTATTTGGAATATAAGCTCTTTCCTGTTCAACCGTGTTTTGATTTGAGGACTTGTCGAGTGAATCGGTGTCCGAGAATACTAAGCAATAGGAATAGCTGGGTCATAACCGTAAGAAGAAGCAGGATTATAACAGTGGCGACGGGGAAAAAGGAAAACAAATTCAAGATGCCTATATCAGATGACCAGCTTAACCGAATACTACAACAACAGCAAGCACAACTTGATGCACAAATGCGGTTGTTGGAGACTCTGACTCAACAGCTCAACATCCACAGCTCGAGTTCACACGCTATTTCAAGTTCGTCTTGTGATGCAGTTGCTAGCAGCATCCCAGAATTCATCTATGATCCCGAAAATGGAAATACTTTTCTCACGTGGTTCAGACGTTGGGAAGATACATTTAGAACAGAATTCTGTAATCAAGACGATGCGTGGAAGACCCGATTGTTGGTACGTAAGTTGGGAAGCAACGAAGATGCACGTTTTGCTGACCATATATTGCCAAAGTTACCTCGAGAGCTCAGTTTCGAGGAGACGGTATTTCAGCTGTCAGAGATATTCGGCGAGTCATCCTCGTTGTTTAGTATTCGATATCGGTGTCTAAATTTGGTGAAACGCAAAGCTGATGAATATGGTGTTCTAGCAGACATTGTCAACAGAGAATGTGAACGTTTCAAGTTACGCTCGTTGACTGATGACCAATTTAAATGCTTAA